CCCAGGGCGGGGGGGGTCTCGCCGCAGTGTCGCCGGGTGGCTGGTGGAGCGCGGCTTGGCGGGCCGTCGTTTTCCGGCCCCCCTGTTGCTGGCGCTCTGCTTCGGAGTCCCCGGGGCCGCCGCCTGGCTCCCGTGAGCCCCCCCTTAAGGAAGCTTGGGGGGGGATTGTGCCGCGAGGCATTCCTGGCCCTCCCTCCCCTGCGTGCCGGGTCGATTGCCGTTGTGCTCGAGAGTCAGGGCTGCGGCGCAGCGCTCCCTGCCGGGCGTTCTCATGTCCTCTCATGCCGAACGGCGGGCCCAGAGGCTCCGGAGTGCGGGCGTGAACGCCGTCTCTTCGAAGGAGTTCGAGAGGCTCCCGGGCCTGCTGAAGCAGATTGCAGCGCTGACGCCAACAGCCAGTCTGTTGTGCGCCACCGGCATTGGCCATCTGGTGGCCGATCGGCGTCTATGGGGACTCGCCGGCACTAGGTGCCAGGTCATGGGTCAGTTGTTGGCTAGCAAGTGGAAGAGCGCAGTCAAAGGCACGAAGAGGAAGAGAGCGGCAGAGGACGTCATGACCAAGCCGTTCGGTGGCCTCAAGGCGCTGCCGTTCCTGGAGGCCGTCCGTTCCATCGAGTTGGCACTGCCGGAGTACGTCCCTGGGGACCTGGACGAGACCGTCGTTCACCGGTGCGCTGTTGTTCTCGTCCTGCACGGTTTTCGCCAGGTGCTGCACGTGGAGGGCGTGGACATCAATGACCTCGACAGCCTGCACATGGGCCCGGCGGAAAAGTCCATGGTCAAGCACCTCGTGGAGTCCGTGGAGGCGCATGCGAAGAGGAGGAGGAGCTTGAGGGCGTCCTCCTCGCTGATCGGGCCGTCGTCTTCGTCGGCCACCCTGTCATCGCAGGGCGCCATTGCCCCTGCAGGCGGCCCGCCTGCTGCGGCCGCGGACGTGGCGGTGGAGCTGTCCAGCTTCAGCAGCGGCCAGTCGCGGGTCCGGCTGGACGAGCTGTTCGCCGCGTGGGGCGCCGATGGAGTAGGGGCCACGCTCGCCCCGAAGCAGGCCGTGGAGAAGCTAGGTATTGCGCGTTCGCAGGGTGGGCCGGTGCAGGAGTTGATGCAGGCGAAGGCTGCTGCTCTGCGCCTCCAGGCTAAGTGCGCCTCGCTTATTCAAGTGGCGGCGGCATTGAAATCGTGGCATGCCTTCGCAGTTGCCGTCTTGGGCGTCGCGCCTGGCGCCACGCTGCCCCCGCAGTGCAGCCAGCACGTGGAGTCGTACGTGGCCATCTTCCGGAACCCCTACACTGCGGCCAACTACGTCGGCAGCGTCCGGTGGACTTGCGTGCATTTGGGTTTGTCCACAGGATGGTACACGGAGGCCGTCAAGCTCACGCTTAAAGGTGCGAAGATGGTCCACGTTGCGGCCACTGGTGGCACGAAACGCGTATCGAAGATCATGAACGAGACTGTCGTGAGCCAGCTTGTGAAGTTGGCGCATTTCTCCGGCGAGGCGGAGGTGGGCATCATCTGGTTGCTGGCGTGGGAGTTTCTGCTGCGTGTTCAAAGTGAAGCGGTCGGCCTTCAAGCTGGTCAGGCAGCAGAGGCAGACAAGCTTCCAGATGGCCGGCATTCAGCCGTGTGGGTAGAGGACGGCCAGTATTTGGTTCTCCGGCTCAGGAGGCGCAAGAACAGGCCTCAAGGCTCTGTCTTGCGCCGTGCGTGCACGTGCCGCGGCAGCTCGATTGTCCCGTGCGTGGTCCACGCAGCAGGGCGCATCCTGGCGAACAAAGCCCCAGGGGACAGGCTCTGGGCAGGCACGCCGGCGGTGCTGTTGGCCAAGATGCGCAGGTTGCTAGAGCACTTGCGTGTCCAAGAGGCGGAGCAGTACACGTTCAAAGCCTTTAGGGCTGGCAGGGCCACGGCCTTGGCGGCCGCAGGAGAAAGCGTTGGCTCCATGCTCACAGCCGGCGAATGGAGATCTGCTGCCTTCCTGGCCTACGTGGACGAGGACATCGTCGACAAGGCCCAGCTGCTCAACGCGGCCCTGGAGGAGTCCGACGGCGAGCTGTGAGGGAGGCCCGGCGGGCGACCTGATTGAATTGGCATGTACCGTCTTGGGGAAAAGTCTTGCCGAGAAAACAGAAAACCTGCTCCGGCCCGAGCGCAGGCGCGTTGGGCACGAGAGTGCCGGAGCGCGTCTCGCGTGGGGTTGCGCCGGCAGGGGGCGCAAAGTCTTGCGCTGTGGCGCGTTTGCGCTGCCGGGCACGGGCGCGGGCTGAGTCTGCCCTGTGTCGGGCGTTGGCGGCGTCGGGGGTGTGCGGTCGCTGGGGGTTTGGCATTGGATTGTGCCCCCCTGGAGCGGCGCCGCCACCCGACGCTGCTCGCCTGAGCGCGTGGACTGGATGCCAAGTGCCGCCGGAGAAAACGACCCATTTCAGCCAAAAGGGGTCGTTTCTTCGCAGTGCTGTCTTGTCCACACTTCAGCGGAGAGTTGTCTGGAGGCCTTATGTGGAGAATCATTGCAAATGATGCTGCATAAGGGCGATGGGATAGGATCCGTTCCATTGCCGTTTTGGCTCTAGACTCTCTCCGTTTCGCTTTCCCCGCCCACCTCCCTCGAAACCGAAACGAGGTGCAAGGCTGCGCTGGGCGGAGCCAGAGCGCTGCTGCGGTTGGCTCTTAGCTCGAGCGGCCTCGCGTTGGGCACTCGGTGCCAGAGCGCTGGGGTACGTTGGGCCCTCTACTTGGGCGGTCTCGCGTTGGGCACTCGGTGCCAAAGCGCGGGGGTACGTCGGGCCCTCTTGGCTCGAGCGGCCTCGCGCTGGGCACTCGGTGCCAGAGCGCTGGGGTACGTTGGGCCCTCGGCCTGGGCGGTCTCGCGTTGGGCACTCGGTGCCAAAGCGCGGGGGTACGTCGGGCCAGGCTGGGTGTTGTGTCCTGCTGTGCGGGCCCCAGCTTGTGCGTCCTCGCGTTAGGCACTAGGTGCCGGAGCGCTGGGGCATGTTGGGCCTTGTGAGGGAGCGCTCGTCGCGTTGGCCCAAGCCTGGTGGAAGGGGGGCGGATCTTAGTGCGATGATGGTTTTGATTTTTCCCAGCGCGTTCAGGCAGGCGCCTCCGGGGGTTTGGCATTGGATTGTGCCCCCCTGGAGCGGCGCCGCCACCCGACGTTGCTCGCCTGAGCGCGTGGACTGGATGCCAAGTGCCGCCGGAGAAAACGACCCATTTCAGCCAAAAGGGGTAGTTTTTCGCAGTGCTGTCTTGTCCACACTTCAGCGGAGAGTTGTCTGGAGGCCTTATGCAGGGATCCTTCAGAGCCCAGGATTCTTCAGAGATTCCCCAGGAGACCTCGTGATTCCTCAGGATTCCTCGTGATTCCTCAGGGATTCCTCGGGATTCCTCAGACAGCTTCCTCGCGATTCTTGTTCACTATTCAGAGATTCTTCGGGATTCCGCAGGGATCTCTTTGGGTTCCGAGAGATTCCCGAAAGAATTTTGCGCAAGGCTGGGATCGGACCATGTCCTATTCTATTGCATTTCCAGTGGAAAGCACATCAGGTATGAAATAATGGAATGGTGTGTGCTTAGGCCGGCGCATGTCAAAGTAGGTTCGTAGGCAGGCCCACCGTTCTAGTAAAATCGAATAAGACACCATGAACGAGCATTCCAATGTGGTTGTTTTTGCCCAAAGTTGTTTCACAGCAGCGAACAACAATGAAGTGACAAAACTATGCCACAAGCAAGCGGTCGAATTCCCACATGAGAAGATGTAGGTACATCATGTGCAAATTACACAGACCCCACGCCATACTACGCAAACTCTTGAAGTGTCATATGCCATGTAGCAGCTCGTGTGCCCAACTTGCGCACATGAATCCTGCTTTCTGGTTGCAATTGGCAACGGACGTGTAACTTAATGAGCTTCTCACTTGGAACTGTCTAGTGTCATGGTGCATCTCCAATATTTGTTTCTGAGTATTCTGCTGCTCGCTGATGGAACTCCCGCCGGTCTCACATGACAACCAAGTAACGCGAAGCTTTACGCAACTGTCATGCGAAATCAGTCCCGTTCTCATGCGCCAGGCGTAATTCCCAAGTAAGATTGGCGACAGCTGCTCAGTTTCAAAACAAAACAACCCCAACGTGTCACACAGTAGCCTAGTACCATGACCAATCGTGGCGCTAATGTTGTGTGCCAGAAGGTATGTGTTTTCTTAAGCGCGCATTTAATTGCGAAGGCCTCACGGCCGATGCCGCCGACCCTGAAGGGGAACGACGACGCTGACGTGGGTCAGAGTCCTCATGGATGCTTCTTGGGGTCTCTTCGAAGCGCTCTCGGGGGCTCTTGGGGGAGCCTCTAGGTATGTGTATTCTTAAGCGCGCATTTGATTTCTGAATCGTCTTGAAATGCTCTACGCTTGGTACCGGTTGGTTTTGGGTCGTTTGAGAAGTGGCCCGCTTGGTTGGGATTTGTACCAGTCGGTTGGGACGGGTCCGACATGCGGTTGCGACACCCCCCCTCTTCTGCCGCATGGGAGAGGGTTGTCGTACCTCCTCTCCCTCTACCCTCCTCTCCCTCGCGCTGGCAAGCGACGACGACGGACGACGTCGACGACGACGTCGTTTGCTGGTAGGATCGAGGGGGGTGGGTTGTCGTAACTACCCTTCGGGGATTTCGTCCCCCCCTCTTCACCTTGGCGCGGGGAAGGGGAGGGGGTAAGGGGACTCGGGTTGTGGGATGTGCGGGGGGCGGGGGAGGGCCCCCGTTTCAGATAACCCCTCCTTTTTTTCCCAAGCGCTCGTGAAACGCGCTGCTTACCGTATCAACATAGCTCGGCACACCACGCACACACCAGCACTAGCATAGCACTAGCATGCCTGACACTTGTGCGAGGAAATCATGCCCCAGTCGCGAGGAACCCGCATGCCAGGGACCACCAGCAAGCGCTTCCCTTAACACATGTGTGTCTATCCATCTGTACAGCATATACATGCGCTTGCACGCCTAAAGGGGACATCACAAAGTTGCGAGGGCGTCTTCTTGCCCGCCCCGCGTCCAGGCACTGGCCAGCATGCTGGGCCGCAACTCTGTCCTGCAGGAGCTCCACCTGGACAGGAACCGCGTGGCCGACGAGGGTGCCGAGGCTTGGCCCAAGCGGTCCAGCTCCTGGTGCTGCTCCTCCTCCCTCCTCCCCAGGCCACATAGGGGGCAGACCCCGCTAAACTCGTTGACCGTGAAGACGGCCCTGCTCTTAGCACGAGCCGCCCAGCAGTTGGTTGAGCCCCCGCTCTGTCGGCGACGCCGTCGTCCCACGCCGTAGGTTTGTTCATTAGAGACCTGCGTTCCCCCCGATGCTCCTGTCACCTATATCTCTTCCTGCCTCCCTTCTGCCTCCTCCGCCCTCCTCCATCGTTTGTCGCCACTTGGGGGTTATCGGTAATCGCGACACAGCTGGCAGTTGTTCACACACATGAGTCGTGAGGTCTGAATCCTGTCCGCTTCTGGTGGCCACCATGGCTGCTGGGACATGTCTACAACTGAAGTAAAAGAAATGCAGAGCAGAGATGGGACTCCGCAGTCAGGGCATGCCCACTCAAAGTATGATATCTCTGCCACGAGCTAGGCGCAACTGCCACAAGCAGGTTGCGAGTGAGGCCGGATGACTGGGAACGGGCGTATCATCCGCCGACAGAGAGGCATTGGTACCGATCGAGGAGAGCAGGAAGGGAGTGCTCGATCGTTGCCAGTGCCCGTCCTGCGCCGCCAAATCTCAAAAGAAACTGGTCATTGGCACCGATCGAGCTTTTCCCGCTTTGCTCTCCTCGGCCAGTGTCAGTGCCCACTCCCACTCCCTCTCTCTGTCTTACCTCATCTGTCGGCGCTTCCAAGCACCCCTCGACCACTGGCCCTCCGCGTGGCCGGCCCCGGAGCCGACCGTGCCCTCCCCTGCGGCGCCTGCGGCCCACGAAGGCCCTCGCCGCCGCCCTGGAGTCCAACACCGGGCTGGCGGAGATGTGGCTGGTGGACAACAGGTTCGGCACCAGGGCCGCTCAGAGGCTGGTGAGGGGGGGGTCTTGGGGGGCTGGGCGCGGCTCGGTGCGACCGGCCAAGAAGGGAGATGGACACGGCACTTCTTTCCAGCGTGATCGCGCAGAAAACCACCGCAGCGGGAAGTTGTGGTACATTCGGGGTGCCGAGGTGTGCCAGACGTCCACCCGGTCTGCGCGTGGATCCGTCTTTCTCACATCAATGACGTTTGCTAAACAGCCCTGGGCGATCATTGAACAGTCCTGCCCTGCTCGTCCCCTTCTTCTGACGTGTTTGCTAAATGGCTTCGCTTGTGGGGTGCTTATTCGGAGGTTTTTTTCCCTGCCCGCTACGTGAGTGAGAGAGAGAGAGAGAGTTTTTTTGTTTTAAATAATATAATATATATATATATATGTGTGTGTATGTGTGGGGGCGTTTGACTGCGAGGAGTCGCTCCCGCTTGCGACGACCGAGAGGTGTGTGTATGTGTGTGTTCCAGCTTCGTGTCAGGGAGGGTGGCGGAGGGCGCACGGCGGAGGGCGGAGGGAGGGAGGGGATGGGGAGGATGAGGATGAGGATCAGGATGAGGATGAGGATAGGGAGGAGGAGGACGAGGATAGGGAGGAGGATGAGGAGGATGAGGAGCAGGATAATGATGATGCTGATGATGATGGTGCTGCTGCTGCTGATGATGATGATGATGATGATGAGGATGATGATGATGATGATGAGGATGCTGATGCTGCTGATGATGATGAGGATGATGATTCTGATGCTGCTGCTGATGATGATGCTGCTGATGATGATGATGCTGATTGTGATGATGATGCTGACGATGATGCTGCTGCTGCTGATCATGATGTTGATGCTGATGCTGATGCTGCAGCTGCTGCTGATGATGATGAGGAGGAGGAGTAGGAGTAGGAGGAGGAGGAGGAGAAGGATGAGGAAAGGGAGGGGGAGAGGGAGAGGAATGACGTGGAGGAGGAGGAGAAGGAGGAGGAGGAGGAGGAGGAGGAGGAGAAGAAGGAAGCGGAGGAGGTAGAAGGTGTAGAGGATCAGTGGATGGAGGAGGAGCAGGAGGAGAAACCAAATCAGTAGTAGTACGGTCGGCGAGGAGGAAGGTGCGGTTCAGGAGAAAGGAGAGAGAAGGGGAAGGTCAGGGCATGGTGGCGCAAGATGGAGTCACGCCACCGGTCGCCAGAGAGCGAGAGAGCTGGAGCGGGCGCACCTGCCCCTTCCCACCGCCCGCCAGATCGGAGCCCTCACCGGGCCTCTCCGACGTTGTGGCCGGGAAGGCTCGGGAGGTGTCGGCGGCGCGCACAAGGAGGTGGGGGGAGGGGGAAGGCTGCTCAGAGGGAGGCTCCTTTCAGAAGGTGCCGGCCCTACATCTGCAGACAAGGCCCGCGCCTTCTGAGAAGCAGGGGTGCTTCTAAGAAGCCTAGCCCCCCTCCCCTGCATTCATAATTTGTTAGTAGACCTGCACGAAGAAG